ATGAAAACAATTGGGTTGAAATATCAGCAGGTCTTGATGGTTAGCAGAGAGAACAAAATCAAGATGGCCTGTGGGCATGGTGTGACAGAGGGGAGGGCAGCAGCACCGTTGAAGAAAATAGGGATGCTGGGGAGGGAGGAAGAGGAAGTCCAAGGTTCGTTTGTGTGTGTTTTTTGACACTGTGGGTCATTGTGTTAGTCCAGAGTCTCATTACTAGTGACTGGCAACCAATTCACATGCTTTAGGCTACAAAAAAGAATCTGCTGTCTAATTACAATTGACAAGTCTTGGGTTAAAGTTTCAGGCACATCTGGGTTGGATGGTCAAGGGATGCCATCCACAGTCTGTTTTTCTCCTTGCCCAAAGAGCGGACAGGAATGGCCACAAGCAGATCCAGGCTCGCGTTCTGCCAGCTGAGCATTGGTCCTTGAGTGGCTGAATTAGCCCGTTCCTGAATGATCACTGTGATGAACAGGCTAATGTCATCTGTGCTCCCTGGAGCTAGGTGGTGTGGGATCAGCTCTACCCAAACACCATTCAAAGTGGGGGGGAAATTGTGCTAAGGGAAAATTGGGGGCCTATCCACAAAGGGGGATTGGACCTGAGCAGCAAAAACAGTGCATGTCCACTACATTCTACCTCTTGGCTGTCCAAGATCTACACAGAACCCCTCCATAAAATTTTCACAGAATTTTACTTATCATAATGCAATTTTATCTCACAAAACTTAAAAAAAAAAAAAAACCAACACTGCCTTCTCTCTGTGTGTTTTTAAAAATATATATATTTTTATTGATTTCAGAGAGGGAGAGGAAGATAGAAACATCAGTGATGAGACAGAATCATTGATTGGCTGCTTCCTGTATGCCCCACACTGGGGATCAAGCCTGCAACCCGGCATGTGCCCTGACCGTGAATTTAACCGTGACCTCCTGGTTCATAGGTTGAAGCTCTGTGCCACATTGGCCGGGCCTAACACACTGTCCTGTCTCTGGAATGAAATGTTGCAACTTCTTCTTCTTCTTCTTCTTTTTTTAAAAATATATTTTATTGATTTTTTACAGAGAGGAAGAGAGAGGGATAGAGAGTTAGAAACATTGATCAGCTGCCTCTTGCACACCCCCTACTGGGGGTGTGCCTGCAACCAAGGTAATGCCCTTGACCAGAATTGAACCTGGGACCTTTCAGTCCGCGGGCTGACGCTCTGTTCACTGAGCCAAACCGGTTTCGGCCGTTCCAACTTCTTACTGAGTTACCACATTCAGGCCCACTTTAAGACCTTGGGGAGCTGTCTGGCAAGGTACTGAGCTAGCTGGCCCTTTATAGTCTTTCAATGTATGGCCAGGTTACAATGATGGAGGAAAAATCGGGCAACAAAAAGAACAAACACTCTCCCAGCGGAAGAGAGGAGATGAGGAAAAACAGCTCAGTGGGCACAAGTCGTTTCAGACAGCGACCCTTGTCATTTGTGCTCTTGGCCACGGAGGAGTCCCCTCCCATTGGCGTGGGTTTGGTGGGTGGGGAACTGTAGGAGCTAAGTATTCCCTAGCCTTTGTTTTCCAGGTTTGTGGGGGGGTTTTTTGTTTGTTTGTTTTTTTCCTGGCAATACAATTCCCTTAATCATTAGGAAGCTTTCAGTTGATTTGCATTCAGTCATCCCCAGGGCTATTAACCAAACTAGAGACCTCACTGAAGTTATAATCCTTGAATGGAGTCCCTGGTGATGGTGTTGGGAAGCAGGAGGGGTTGTCTCTTAGCAACAGGCCTTGGTGCTCTGCGCATCCCAGGAGCCCACGGTTCTGTGGCCTCTATGTAGGCCTTTACCACAGGGCAGTTCAAATCCCCACTGGCTGGTGGGAGGCACAGTTCATTTGCCCCTTCCCACTCCAACTGCGTCCCGGCGGGAGGCTGCTTATAAAGAACGCAGTGGTTGCTTCTGTGGAGCTGGGAGGGCACAGCAGAAGGGTTGCAGGAGGGTCTGGGGAGGGAAGAGCCTGACAGGCCCCAGGCGTGTCTCCCTCTGTGTTTCCAGCCTCCCTCTCTTTGCCTGAGCTGACTTTAGCTGGAAGCAGAGAACTGGCTCTTAATTATCTGACTCTCAGCCATATTGGATGACTGGCCTCAGGCAGAAAGGGCCTCGCTGGGCAGAGCAGCATTTTCTTCGTCTGCTTTCAGGGCCAGAGCGTGTCTTTCTTATTGGACCGAACTGAGGCCACACCCCAACGCGGTGACCTTTTTCTACAAGTTCCCTAAAGTTCCAGCCTTGGTGGGAACATCGTCTGAGCTCCAGAGGCAGCGGGAGAGCTTAGTCAACTGCTCTGCTGCTATGTAGCAGGGTTCCCCACTTCTCAGTGGGTGGAGCAGTCCTGTGTACTCCCCCCACTTAGTTCAGCTAATTCCTTCTTAGGGTCTGTTACTTTTAAAAATTCCATTCCTGCTTCTAATGTCTGGAGGACTTTTTCCTGGTGCAGGTAACAGACTCCTGTCCAGCTGGCTTAAACAGTGTCTGTGAGGAATCTTTCTTTATCTCTCTTCTTCTTCCTCTTCCTGCTCCTCCTTTTTCTTTCTTCTTGGATTTCAGAAGGGAAGAGAGAGGGAGATAGAGATAGAAACAACAATGATGAGAGAGAATCATTGATTAGCTGTCTCCTGCACATGCCTGAAATCAGGGCATGTGCCCTGACTGGGAATCGAACCATGACTTCCTTGTTTATAGGTCAATGCTCAGCCAGGGAGCATTCTGGCAAGCTGTCTGGCAAGGGGTCAGTTCTGCTTCTGTATGTTGGCTTCATTCCCATGTGGTTCCTCCCAAAGATGGCCTCATCGGCTTAGAAACCTGAGCCCCAAGGGATGCTTCCCTCCAGTAGTTCCAAAGAAGTTCTGGAGAAATAACTCATTAACTCAATGAGAAGATACTCATGGATTCAACTTGGGCAGAGATATGTGCTCACTCATCCCAAGCCTCTGGTCGACCAGGCCTATATCACATTCTTACCCCTGAAGCCGGGGATGGGCCACCAACCCCCACCCAGACCACACGGACTGAGAAAATGGGAAAGGAACGATGGTTCCCCAAGGCCAAAGCAGGGTGCTCTTCTCCTGAGGAGAACAGGATGCTGGGCTGCAAGGGAACAGACATTACACACGCATACATCCATGTGGAAATGACAGAGCACATGGGACTCGAGAACAGGTCAGGATGGAGAGGCAGAGCTGAGACTTAATGGGTTTCCCGTGTGAGTTAACTCTTGGAAGGGCATCTGACTGCCAGGGGAGTAGAGGCAAAGGGGGCATGAAGACCTCCCATGAGGGGGGGGAGTTAAGAAGATTAGGAAAGCGAGGAGGTCAGAGATGCAAACTAGGCACCTGAATTGTCACCCATAAAGACTGAGGGGTCAGGAGGACCAGCCAAGGGGTCAAGCGGGGGAAGGCATCTGATGACAATTGAATTGCCTGATTAGCAAGTGAGCTGTGAGCTGGCGGAGCATGTGACATCAGAGGGCAGTTGGAACCGGATTGCAGGCTGTTTGAAGAAGGCAGTGAGGAATGGGGGAGAGATCGCAGGAGGCAGGGGAGGGGAGACCAGAAGCCAGAGGGGATGGGGGGGATGCACAGTGGGAGTTGAGGGTGACCAGGGCTGGGATTCCAGGAAGGGTGGCTGCTTGTGCCAGAAGAAGTCTGGGGAGGACAAATATCATGACCCCTGTGAGGAAAGGGCAGGCAAGGCCACTTATTGGAGACCAACGTGGCAATGAAACCCGAGGAAAGGACTAGGTGCCTGGAGTGGCGGGGATTGGAGAACAGGGGATAGAAGTAAGGGCAGGAACAGTCACACACAGGAGTATTGTCAGGTGAGGTGACATCTTGGTCACTGCATCATGGTACCAGCTGTCCAGCCTGTCTTATGGGTGTGGTTCACATGACATGGAAACAAGCATATCTTTTAAGAATTTTTTTTTGAGATGTAACATACATCCAGTCAGGTACATACAGTGCACAAATCTCAAGTGTACCAGTACAGTTGATTGTTTACATATGTATACCCCTGTATCACGTAAGGTTCCCTCTTTCCCCTTCCCAGTCTCTAGAGACCCCTAGGGGTAACCTCCATTCTGACTTTGTCATCTTCAATTTAGTCTGCTCTTAAACTCCACGAATATTGACTCCTAGAGTGTGCACTCTGGTCTGGCTTCTTTCATCCACGTTGTTGCATGTACCAATGGCTCCTTTTCTAACTGCTGGGTTATTATTCCATTATGAATATATGACTATACCACAGTTTATTCATTCTATTGGTGATGGGCACTTGGGTTATATCCAGGTTGGACTATTATAAATAAAATGAATGTCTTTAAAAAAAAAAAAAAAAATATATATATATATATATATATATATATATATATATATATATATATATAATTGATTTCAGAGAGGGAGAGAGAGAAATGTCAATGAGAGACACTTCTGATGACTGGCTCCTGTACACCCCACACCGAGGATCTAGCCTTCAACCCTGGCATGCGCCCAGAGCAGGAATCAAACCCTGGGACCTCTTGGTCCATGGGACGCTGCTCAACCCACTGAGCCATACGGACCTCGCAAAAAATGCCTTTTTTTTTTTTCCCCCTTCTTAAATAATTCTTATTCTTTTTCACTCACACATGCACAGGCCCTTGCACAGGTACCACACTGCAGGCCAGCCCCTTCTGGGAGGTCAGGCTATGGGTCTCCCCTCGCCCCTCTCTCTGGGCACATGATGTCATTCCTGGGAAAGTCAATTTCCTCCCGGGCATGGGTACGGGGTGTGAGGAAGGGAAGCAGGGATACCCTTCCTAAGACTGACTCCCTCTCTTCTAGCCTCCTCACCCCTGACCGCGGGAGCCTTCCCGACCCCGCAGGGGGGCTCGCCCGCGGCCCCCCATGAGCGCCCCCGGCTGACCGGCGGGGCGGCCGCGGTGGAGCCCGGAGGCCGCGGGGGCGGGGGCGGCGGCGGCGGGGCCATGGCCTCGCTGGACCTGCCGTACCGCTGCCCCCGCTGCGGGGAGCACAAGCGCTTCCGGAGCCTGTCGTCCCTGCGCGCGCACCTGGAGTACAGCCACACGTACGAGACCCTGTACATCCTCTCCAAGACCAACAGCATCTGCGAGGGCGCGGCGGCGGCTGCGGCGGCCGCGGCCGCGGCCTCGGGCTTCCCGCTGGCGCCCGAGCCCGCCGCCCTGCTGGCCGTGCCCGGCGCCCGGCGCGAGGTGTTCGAGAGCACGTCCTTCCAGGGCAAGGAGCAGGCGCCCGCCGCGCCCCCGCTGCTGCACCACCACCTGCACCACGCGCCCCTCGCCCACTTCCCCGGCGACCTGGTGCCCGCCGGCCTGCCCTGCGAGGAGCTGGCGGAGCCCGGCCTGGTGCCCGCCGCCGCCGCCCGGTACGCGCTGCGCGAGATCGAGATCCCGCTCGGGGAGCTGTTCGCCCGCAAGTCCGTGGCCTCCTCCGCGTGCTCCACGCCGCCGCCCGGGCCCGCCAGCCCCTGTCCCGGGCCCGCCACCGCCTCGCCCGCTTCCCCCTCGCCCGCCGACGTGGCCTACGAGGAGGGCCTGGCGCGCCTCAAGATCCGCGCGCTGGAGAAGCTGGAGGTGGACCGGCGGCTGGAGCGGCTGAGCGAGGAGGTGGAGCAGAAGATCGCCGGGCAGGTGGGCCGCCTGCAGGCCGAGCTGGAGCGCAAGGCCGCCGAGCTGGAGACGGCGCGGCAGGAGAGCGCGCGGCTGGGGCGCGAGAAGGAGGAGCTGGAGGAGCGCGCGTCCGAGCTGTCGCGCCAGGTGGACGTGAGCGTGGAGCTGCTGGCCTCGCTCAAGCAGGACCTGGTGCACAAGGAGCAGGAGCTGAGCCGCAAGCAGCAGTGAGTGTCGCGGTGCTACCGCCGCCCCGGTGTGTGTGTGGGGGGAGGGGGGGGTGTCGATGAGGGTGTCTGTGAGTGAGGCCATGAGCCTGGAACGATGGTGCACGTGGGGCCAACAGTGTGATGACTGTGTTTAGGACTGTGAGTCCACGGCTGTATGACCCTGTGTGCCAGTGAACAGGGTCTTCCTTCTCTATGCTCCTAGCCCAGTGGTCGGCAAACCGCGGCTCGCGAACCACATGGGGCTCTTGGGACCCTTGAGTGTGGCTCTTCCACAAAATACCCCGTGCAGGCCCCCACGTAGAATGCGATTGAAAGAATACTCTAAGTTATAACAGTATACCTGCTTATATAGTTTAAGTTTAAAAAAAATTGGCTCTCAAAAGAAATTTCAATCATACTGTCGATATTTGGCTCTGTGGACTAATGAGTTTGCCGACCACTGTGGACCTAGCCAAAGCCAGCTCCCGCCCGCCTGCATTATGGCACAGGTCCTCTTCCCTTTTGCACACTCAGAGACACAGCCGAATTCCCCTCTCCAACTGCCCTCATGAGATTTCCCCTGTCCACTGTATCGTTCCTGAAAGCACACCAACATGCGCGTTTCTGTCCCCTTCTCCCCCTGGAGCTGCCCCTTCTCTCGCCTTCTTGCAGAACAACCTTCAGAGTACTGCTTATCCTCCTTGTTTTTGACTTCTTTCTCTATGTTCTCTTTTGAACCCAATCTGATTGGGTGTCAATCTCCACCACTCTTCTCGTCACCGACCATCTTCATGTTGCCAAGGCCAAACCATCATCTTACTTGGCCTATCAGCAGCATTTGGCACAGCCGATCTTGAAACACATTCTTTATATTTATATATATATAATTGATTTCAGAGAGGAAAGGAAAGGGAGAGATAGAAACATCAGTAATGAGAGAATCATTGATTAGCTGCCTCCTGCAATGCCCCTCAGTGGGATCAAACCCGCAACCTGGACATGTGTCCTGACCAGGAACTGAACCGTGGCCTCCTGGTTCATAGATCGGTGCTCAACCACTGAGCCAGGCCGGCCGGTGAGACACATTCTTCCCTTGGCTTCCAGGGCACTCTCCTGGGATCTCCTTCTATCACTTTGCTCCTCCTCAGTCTTTGTTGCTTCTCCTTAGGTCTCTCCTTTTTAAGTGGAGAATTACGAAATATGTAGATGTTATGCATCTGTCCCCATAGTGATACAAGCTCTGTGGTGGCAGGAATGTTTCTCTGCTTACTCACTGCTATGTCACCAATACCTAGAACCAAGAAGGTGCTCAGTCAATGTTGAGTGGATGCATGAACAACTGTGCATGCAATTGGGAGAAAATACTCTTGTGACTCTTAAGGGTGCTGTGTGTCCATGCAACTCCTGGAGGGTGGTAGTGCATTGGAAGTATGCTTCTGCGTCTGAGGAGGTTTCTGAAAAATGTGTGTGTGGTAGGGAAGTGGGTATGGGTGTTTGAATGTGTTGGTGAGACTGTGCCTTTCTCAGACTGTGTGCCTGCGGACGACCATGAACACATATATTTGAGTGTGGGGCTATGTATTGGACTTTGCGTACTTGGCTGTGTGCCTGTGTGTGTCTGGAGGCAGAGGGTGGCTGTGTGTGACTGAGTATGCCTGAGGAACAGGGATGTCCAGTTGTGTGGGGCTGGGTGAGTGGGGTGTGAGTGTGTAACAACTCAGAACATATGCTGGCATTCCCATGTGTGCCATTGTGTGGGGCAGTGTGCCTGGGCCTGTTCTATGTGTTTCCATGTGACATGAGCAGACGCCGGGGGCAGCTGTGCCCCATGTTGCTCCCCCACGGGCCAGCGCCTCCTCTAGAGGGTGGGTGGGCAGACAGGGAGGCACTGGGGTAAGAGGCTGCTCCGGGCCCAGGGAGGTGGTGCAGATTGACCAGTTCCTGAAGGAGACTGCGGCCCGGGAGGCCAGCGCCAAGCTGCGGCTGCAGCAGTTCATCGAGGAGCTCCTGGAGCGGGCGGACCGCGCCGAGCGGCAGCTGCAGGTCATCAGCAGCAGCTGCGGCAGCACCCCGAGCGCCAGCCTGGGCCGCGGAGCCGGGCCCGGGCCCCGGGGCCCTGGCAGAGTGGTGAGTGCCCACCTTCCTTCCCTCCTCCACCTGCACACCTGACTTCCACAGACTCCCCTCACCTGTGGCCTGACGATGCTCCCTCTTTGGCTCTTCCCCACAAGCAGGCTGAAGGCCTGAAGTAGGGGGTCCAGGAATAGGGGAGCCGAAACCAGTTTGGCTCAGTGGATAGAGTGTCCCAGGTTCTGAAGGATCCCAGGTCCCAGGACTGAAGGATCCCAGGTTCGATTCCGGTCAAGGGCATGTACCTTGGTTGCAGGCACATCCCCACAGGGGGTTGTGCAAGAGACAGCTGGTTGATGTTTCTCTCATCATCGATGTTTCTAGCTCTCTATCCCTCTCCCTTTCTCTCTGTAAAAAATCAATAAAATATATTTAAAAAAGAAAAGAAAAGAAAAAGAAATAGGGGAGCCCCCTCTGAGGTGTCAGAAGCGCAGGCCCCTGGGCTGTAGTGAGGTGTGATTCAGAGGCCCCTCCCTGCCAGTGAGAGCCCAGGAGTCACAAGCTGGGCCCGAGGTGTGGGGTGGGTGCGCGGAGGTGGCTGGCGAGCCTGCCTCTCGGCTGTCTGTCTGTCTATATTTGTCCATCTTTCCCAACTTTTCTCCTTCTTCTCTCTCCTCTCCTCTCCATCTTGCACCCTGTTTTACCCTGCTCCTTCTCATCCTCTTGCCTCCTCTGCCCTCCTTCCCTTCCCTCCTGCTCTGGGGCCCACAGCGAGAACACCACGTGGGGATGGCCATGCCTAGCACATACGCGGTGTCCCGGCATGGCTCCTCTCCCAGCACAGGGTAAGCCTCGGGCCCACCTCCCTCCCCCCAACACGGCCCACCCGCACCCCGGCCCCCTGGATGCTGACCTGTCTGGGGGCTGGTCTCCCCTCTCCCCGTCCTCCTTGGGTCCCCTCTGTCCGTCTGCCTTTCCGCACTCAGAAGGGGCTCTTAGAACGTGGGGCGGGCGGGCGGGTTGCCCGTGGCCAGGGTTAGGGGTGGGACGGGGAGTGTGGGCAGGCCCGGTGCCTCTCCCTGCTCCTTACCATCTGCTCCACCCCCCGTAGGGCCTCCAGCCGTGTCCCAGCCGCATCCCAGAGCTCAGGCTGCTATGACAGTGACAGTCTGGAGATGCCCCGGGCAGAGGAAGGGGCCCCGGAGGACAGTGCCCCTGGGGGCGTGGGCCCGCGGGCCCAGGCTGCCAACGGCGGCTCGGAGCGGGCTCCGGCCCCTCGGAGCGCAGGCCTGCGGCGCCAGGCCATTCAGAACTGGCAGCGCAGGCCCCGCCGGCACAGCACGGAGGGCGAGGAGGGCGACATTTCGGACGTGGGCTCCCGAACCACCGAGTCAGAGGCCGAGGGCCCCGCGGACGTCCCCCGCGCCGGGCCTGCCGCGGCGGGGCCAGTAAGCAGCTGCCGGCTCTCAGGTGAGTCCCAGCGGGGCGGGCAGAGAGGCCAGGCTTTCCCACGGTGCGGGCCCTCTCAGAGGACACGGGGCTGAGGCAGCACCCCTCCTGGGCTCCTGCACCCCCTTCCCCCTGGCCCAGCCTCCCCACAATGAGAACAACACTCCCACACAGCGCCCTGCACGCCCGGGGCAGGAACTTGGGCGGCAGGGTTGTGCACAGGATGCCACATCCGAGGGGTTCCGTTTATGTGGCGGGTTCACTGACATCTACGGGAGAGTAGCTAGGTGCTGACTCCGGACTCTGTGGCCCCCGGAGCAGCTGGAGGAAGGGTGCCTCCCCATAGAGAGACAAGGCCGTGCCCATAGGCCGATGGGGAGGGCCAGGAGGTGAGAGGGCTCCGGACGTGGTGTTTGGCTGCCCCTGTGACTGCCCCTGCCTGTTCCCAGAGGCCCCGTTTCTATCCATCCACACCCTAACCCTCCAAACCCTTTCCTTCTCCAAAAGGGATTCAGTTACCTCATCTCGGGGGGGTGAGTTCAGACTATGCGATGACATATTAGACATATTATCTTAAAAATAACTTACTTGAGCCAAAACCGGTTTGGCTCAGTGGACAGGGCGTTGGCCTGCGGACTGAAAGATCCCGGGTTCGATTCCGGTCAAGGGCATGTACCTTGGTTGCAGGCACGTCCCCAGTAGGGGGTGTGCAAGAGGCAGCTGATCGATGATTCTCTCTCATCGATGTTTCTAACTCACTATCCCCTCTCTCTTCCTCTCTCTCTATATATATATATGTAAAAAAATCAATAAAATATATATTTTTAAAAAATAAAAATAACTTACTTGGGGACAGACTATCTTTCCTAATTTGCAAAACTAGGGGTAGGGTGATGCAGAAGAGAGGAATGCAGAGGCCCCTGTCTTCCTCCCAAGGCACAAGGGTCCCCCCATACCCAGGCCTCCTACAGCTCCTACCCTACCCTAGCTCCACACCCACATCCCCCCGCTGGCCTTTGAGCCTCCATACTCACCTTTGACCCTTCGGTATTGTGCAGCCCGCTCTGAGGGAGGCAGTGGGCGGGGTCGGCGAGCAGAGCGGGGCAGCCCCTCACGTTCCAACGAGGTCATCAGCCCAGAGATCCTGAAGATGCGAGCCGCCCTGTTCTGCATCTTCACCTACCTGGACACCCGCACGCTCCTGCACGCCGCCGAGGTCAGCCGCGACTGGCGCTTTGTGGCCCGCCACCCTGCCGTGTGGACGCGAGTGCTGCTCGAGAACGCCCGGGTCTGCTCCAAGGTGCCTACCTGGCTCTGCCCATGTCCCCTGCCCTCCCCCTCATCCCCGCTGTGAACTCACGCGCACGCACATGCACACGCACACGCACGCACACACACACACACATTCCCCCTTTTCCAGCATCTGGTCCCTCTAGGTTTGGTCCTTGCAATCCTCACAAGACCCCACCTCTTGCCTGGTTTCCTAAAATGCTCCCATGGAGCTTCTATCCTGGGGCTGGTCCACCTCCAGCCAACCAAGTTCAGACTCCTCACCCCCAGGTCACGCCTCTCTCCCTGCAGTTCTTGGCGATCCTGGCTCAGTGGTGCACCCAGGCCCACTCGCTGACCCTGCAGAACCTGAAGCCCCGGCAGCGGGGCAAGAAGGAGAGCAAGGAGGAGTACGCCCGGAGCACCCGGTGAGGCCGGGGTCGGGGGGGGGGGGGGGGAGTGTGGGTGGGAGGGTGCTCCTGGGCCGCAGACCTAGAATTACGTGGAGACGCTTCTCAGAGCAGGAGGTGGCCACAGGCCAGGCCTCTCTCTGACCTCTTGGCCATCCCCAGGGGCTGTCTGGAAGCAGGGCTGGAGTCCCTGCTGAAGGCGGCGGGCGGCAACCTGCTGATCCTGCGCATCTCCCACTGCCCCAACATCCTCACCGACCGCTCGCTCTGGCTGGCCAGCTGCTACTGCCGCGCTCTGCAGGCCGTCACCTACAGGTGGGTCCATCCCGCCGGGAGCATCCCCAAGAGGGGTCCCCGGGCTCTGCCCTGTGTACCCTTCTCCCCGGGCTCTCGGGCAGAGACCCAAGAGCCCCGTGGCCTCAGGGAAGGGGGCAGAGGCCGCTGGGGAGCATGGGTGGCCCCAGCTTTGTCTTTTCAACAGGAGCGCCACCGATCCTGTTGGCCACGAGGTCATTTGGGCCCTGGGTGCAGGCTGCAGAGAGATAGTTTCCCTCCAGGTGGCGCCGCTTCACCCCTGGTGAGCCCTGGCTGGGTGAGGAGGGGACAGAGTTGGGTGGGGTTTGGGGCTGAGGACTGAGCAGATCGAGGGCCACTCGATGGTCTGTCTGGGGAGACCAGATTTCACCTTCCTCAACCTGTGTGTTTAGGTGTTAGGAGCAAGGCTTACTTCACATCATGCCCTGGGTACTAGAGTATGACCTTGGGCAATGCAGTTGTGCTTCAGTTGCTTAACCTGCAAAGTAGGAGTGATATTAGGATCGGTTGACCTCATTCGGACTGTTGCTGGCTCGGATGAGATGTGTCCATGAAGCCTGCAGGGCCCACAGTGAGGGAGGTGTGAACATAAGGGAGGTTGGTTTGGCACATGAAAGGCAGTTCAGGGTGGTCTGTGTATAAACGTACAAAAAAGCTGGTGGCTAGCCGAGACCGGTTTGGCTCAATGGATAGAGCGTCGGCTTGGGGACTGAAGGGACCCGGGTTCGATTCCGGTCAAGGGCATGTACCTTGGTTGCGGGCATATCCCCAGTAGGGGGTGTGCAAGAGGCAGCTGATCAATGACTCTCTCTCATCGATGTTTCTAACTCTCTATCTCTCTCCCTTCCTCTCTGTGGAAAATCAATAAAATATATTAAAAAAAAAAAAAAAAGCTGGTGGCTGGTGAGTCCAGGGTGTGGGTCACTCATGGCTCTCCTGGGAGCTCCTCGAACATGTCAGGCTTTTCTGCTCCCTGCACCTTGACCTCCAAGCCCCCTCTTCACGTGGCATCTCCTCCCAAGCCCTCCACTGTCCCCTCACCAACATCCTGCCAACATCCTGGGAGAATTAGTCTCTGCTCTCCTGCCTTCATTCCTCCTGCACCTTGTCCCCACCCTGCAAGAGTCCACTTTGCAACAGCTTCTCTATATTTCAGTCTCCTCAAGACTCACGGTTCTCCGGGCAGGGGCAGACATGTGCATTCCACATCTGTGCTACCAAGAGTGTGACAGGTGGGCGGTGCTGAGGGATGCAGTGTTCAGGGAAACGGCCAGTTTGGTGAGAGTGGTGGGCAGAGCCGAGCAGTGAGTGTGCAGAGTCAGGGAGGGGACAGGTCAGGAAGGCCTTGCCGAAGGGGCTTAGATGTTTGCTTTTTTTTTTTTTAATCTAGAAAGGGCTGAGAAGCAATTGGGGGTTTTAGATCTTAAAACATGGGGTTACATCAGACAGGTAACAATTCTTTATGCCCCTCTTCACCCCACTGTCTGCTCCTTCAGGACAGGGGCTGTGTCCGTATTGTCCCACTACATTCCCCAGGCCTAGCTCAGTTGTTTGTGGCTGTTGTAAGTAGATACTTAAAACAATTTGTTGAATGACTGAGTGAGGGAATGTAGGAATGACCGGATAACCCTCAGCGGCAGGCAGTCTAGTCCAAATCCAGATGAACATTGATCATGGTCTGAACTGTAGGTTGAAGTCTTACTCAGGAACCAGAATCCATGGGTCTTGGCAGGAGATGAGGGAGGGGGAGTCAGGAATAATCCCAGGTTTCTGACTTGAGCAGCTGGGGTGATTGGCGGGGTCCCTGCCCAAGGGTGAGCCTGAAGATAAGCCCTGAGGAGGAGGAGGCTTGGGGTGTCATTTCACCAGAGGCTTTCCTGACTGCCCTTCCTCCTCCTCCCCCTTCTCCAGCCAGCAGCCCTTGCGCTTCAGTAATCGTTGCCTGCAGATGATCGGTCGCTGTTGGCCCCACCTCAGGGCCCTGGGTGTTGGGGGTGCCGGCTGTGGGGTGCAGGGCCTGGCATCACTCGGTAAGTTTTTCCTTGGGGCTAGGGTGGGGGGTAGTGGGATGCCGCATGCGATGCAGGCTCTGGGGGGCAGCCTGGGTGATAGCAGGAGCATCAGGTGGGCAGGAGGTAACCTGGAGAGTTGGTCAGCAGCACCTGCCCTCTTCCTCTTCCTAGCAAGAAACTGCATGAGGCTGCAGGTCCTGGAGCTGGACCACGTGTCGGAGATCACCCAGGAGGTGGCGGCCGAGGTCTGCCGGGAAGGCCTGAAAGGACTGGAGATGCTGGTGCTCACGGCCACCCCCGTCACTCCCAAAGCCCTGCTGCATTTCAACAGTGAGCCATGGGGAATGCGGGGCGGGGCACAGGGTCACCTCGTACCGTGCCTTGCCAGCAAGTAGCATAACCAGCTCCCTGTCACTGCCGGTCAGCAAGCACCAGTGCTGGGGTTAGACTGACCAGGGCTCTAGCCCTGGCTTTGCCACTAGTGCCTTCTGAGGCTGGTGTGGTCCAAATAGTCCCGCTCAACTACACCCGTTACCCTAATCTCTATCCACATTGGGACAGGAGCTATGCAGCAGCATCGGCCCCCTTGGGAGCCTCCAGCCACGGGCAGAGGCAGGGGAGCAGGCGGGTAAGAGCATAGGTTCTGGGGCTTGACTGACCTGGGTCTCAGGTGACTCTACATCTCTGAGTTCTGTACCCAATCTTCTAAGCTGATTTTCTAGAATGAATGAGAGGATTAAATGAGATGATGTGTGTGAGCCTCCAGGGACAGTTCAGAGGGAAGGCTCCTTTCCCTGGTATAGATTCCACGTCATGCCTCCTCTGGCCCCACTCCCTCCAGCTGTCCACTCCATCTCCCGTCATTCCTCCACCTTCATAGAGGACATGGGAGCCCATTTTGGGCTGCTCACACCCAAAAGTGAGACCATCATCCAAAACCGTTTGATCCTCAGCAAGACCTCAGGTCCTGAGAGCACCAAGGTTCTCTGGCCTTATTTCCAGGGTCCTCTTCCCCCTTCCCCTTCAGCTTCATGGCCTTGCCTGGGACTGTCAACCAGCTAACGGCTCAGCCTTCAAAATCATGGCCTTCAGGACCCCCTCAGCCTCCTGACTTTCCTGCTCCTCCTCTCCTGACCTCATGGCATCACCCAGTCCTCTTGAAGCTCCCAACTTGTTTGCTCCCTGTCTCCCCTCCTCTGGGCTCCAGCCGAGACCCATCGGCCTCACTTCCGTCCTCTGTCTTTGTAACTCACTCCCCAGTGCCCAGGCCACAGCTCGCCTGTCCCTTCTGCCAGGGAAGCTTGCAGAGCTCCTGCACAGCTGGTGCCACTCATCCCCCCCGAATCCACCGCAGCCTCTGCTCTGACGCCACCTTCCGCCTTCTCCCACGGCCCGGTGGAGCCCCCGGGCAGCGTGGGTCTGCTCTCCGGGTTATGATCCCAGTGCCTGGCATTTGGTTGCCCCTCAGCAGGTTCTGATTTCATTAGTGATGGGAGAGGAGGCAGCCCGGCCAAACTCGGGCTCTCATCTTACCCAACCCTTTCCCCAGGCATTTGCCGGAACCTCAAGTCCATTGTGGTCCAGATTGGGATCGCTGATTATTTCAAAGAGCCCAGCAGTCCCGAGGCCCAGAAGCTGTTTGAAGACATGGTGACTAAACTCCAGGTGAGGAATTGGCTCTGACCCGAGGCTGGGGCTGAGGACTTGGGGGGCTGTGATGTGAAGAAAGCCTCACCTGTGTGCCCCTGAGGCTCTGGCCCCGAGGAGAACTAACCCAGCTTTGCTCTGCAGGCCCTGCGGCGGAGGCCCGGCTTCTCTAAGATCCTGCACATCAAGGTGGAAGGCGGCTGCTAACCCGGGTGAGGGGCGGCAGGGCCCCTGCCAGCCCCACCCAGGGCACTCTCTTTGGACTTCCAGAGGGACCCTGATTTGGACTAGTCCTTCAGAGGCCTAGCGTTACCTCTGGCTTCCAGGAAGGGGTCGACAGCTTCCTGTCCCCTCCTGGCAGAGCAGAACAGCAGGCCTGACCTTGGGAACTTCTTCAGGGCAGGGGCTCGGACAGAAGCTGCCTTTTGCCCCTCCCCAATCCCCAGCTGGAGCAGCCTTCTGGGCACAGCCAGCGAGGAGCTGTCACCACCAGCACCCGGCGTCTTCCCCCGGGGGGTCTGCAATAACCACCAGTGGCCCTTGGCTGCGCTGGCAGGCCTCCATTCTTGAGGCCCAGCCTCCCGGTCAGGGACCTCTGCTAGGCCCCAGGCAGGTCAGACTTGGTAAGGCGGGCTCTTCTCCTCGCCCTGCTCTGTCCCAGACCTCTGCGGGGCACCCCATCAGACAGCCCACCTGGGTCTGGGTCCACACTCTGTAAAAATAACACACAGGCCAAGGAATCTGGGCAAGTGTCAGCCAAAGGTGAGGCAGTGGCAGTGGGCTTGGAAGGGCAAAACATTCACCAGGATTTTCTTCCGAGGACATGGAAACCATCTTTCCCAACGGAGGGTATTGCCAGGAAGAAAAAATAAATTTCTATTCATATAGACAAGACCTCCCTCCCCCAATAACCACATTTCCCACACATCCAGGAGCTAAATCCTGAGCTAAAAGGTGCATGTTTCCATACCTGTCAGCAATCCCAACCCAGTCACCTGTGAGAAGCAGGGTTTTTTTTTTTTCTCTCAAGAAATGGCCTTTTTTTATTTATTATTAAATATATTTTTATTGATTTCAGAGAGGAAATGAGAAACATCAATGATGAAAGAGAATCATTGATTGGCTGCCTCCTGCACGCCCCCTACTGGGGGGGTTGAGCCTGCAACCCAGGCATGTGCCCTTGACTGGAATCGAGGCCTGGACCCTTCAGTCTGCAGTCCAATGCTCTATCCATGGCGCCAAACTGACTAGAGAAGGAATGGCGGTCTAATCCAGGTGCTTGGGCAGGTCTCTGATGGCCTGTGGATCCCAAGGCTGTGTGGGAGGAAGGCAGTCACTGGCTGACCTCTCTATGAGGGCTAGGGGAGGCTGGACGAGGCTGGTTTGGTTTGCTTCCTTGTCTGGCTAGCTTGCTTAAAGATGTAGCCCTTTAAGGAAGCGAGGCCCATCGAGCCAAGAATGAAGAACACCCTCATTGGACTTGTCCCCCTCCTCCATCTCATCTGCTCACATGGGCTAAGGGCTCTATTGGGAGTTTTCTGCCTGGAAGTAGTTCTGAGGCCCAAGCCAGAGCCACTTGGCTTAGAAGCCACAGAATGGATGCAAGTGGGGGTTTCACTCACTCTTATTGATGGTCCTCACAGGACCAGGTCCCAGCACTAAGACTCAGGTCTCCCCCGTTCCTCCTGGGAACTCCCACAGAGGCTGAGGTCGTGGGTCCTGCCAACCTTCATTTGGAAAGTTCTTTCATTCACCTAGATTTCTCTCCTGCACAGGACTGGCTCTCAGCCCTAACCATTAGGCAGCTGGTGTGGCTAGGGTAGGATTCCTCCAATTTCTCAGTTCTTTCCAAGGACCCAACTTTCTGCTACAACCCAGCTTGAACATCAAGACCCAGCCCTGAGTTACCCTGCAGTGAGGCCTCCAGAGCTGGGCCCCACAGACTTAGCGGTGCGCCCTGCTTCCCTGGCTCTTCCCATTGTTGGCTTTTCCTGGCCAAGACCCCAAATACCAAGGGTGTCATGTTGGAAACTCCCTGTCCTGTCCTGCAGGAAGCTTTGGCCGCCTGGTATCTCCACTCCAGAGCAGCTGGCTTTATTGACTCCTCCTCAGCCCTGGCCCCAGGAATCATGGGAAGAAGCACAACTCCCCTGGCCTAGAGGGAGGTGGAGGCCCACTTAGGCTTGGCTGCCCTGGGTGCATCAGTCCTGCCTTCCAATTGCACCCTCCAAAGTCCTGCTCCACGTGACCCCAGGATCAGAGGTGCTTCCTCCCTGGCTCCTGAACAAAGCACAAAGGGATGCCCTGCTTGGCCAGAACCTGCCCTACCGTTCCTTTTCTGCCCCAGGAAGCCTCTGTCCCTGTATACAGGCTCCGGGCAGTTTCTCCCTGGGTGGGTGCCCATCTGGATGCCCAGCCTCAGCCCTGGAAAAGGAATTCAATGCCCGGGCAGTGAATTGAAGTGGGAGAAAGGCGGTGATGAAAGGACTTATGTCAGTAGTAGTTTATTCACTCATTTGTGTGACAGCCCTGCACACCACCAGCACCAGGCAGCAGAGTGAACAAGACCCCCCTCCTGCTGAGAGGAAGTTTGCCTCTCACAGGTTTGGTTGTTCCCAGAAAATCCCTCAAGTCCAGCTGAGGGAAGGATGTGTGGGAGTATATGTTATATTGTATGTGCCCAGGCCCCCGTGAACAGGAACATGGGTTATAGTGTGTCCCATTGCACACCTGGCCCCGGGGCTGGGAGACGTGTGTGGCTGAGAACTGGCAGGTTTGCAGGCCTTCGCCCACACCAGCTCAATGCTATTTTCTCTCTCTCTTCAGGGGAGTGAGCCCTGCTGCTATGGGGGAGCTTTTGTTGGTGGGAATGCTCCGTTTGTTCACTTTGGCAACCCTAGAGCTGGGGCTGATGACGGGGAACGGGTGGAGGGCCATCCATGCCCCTATCTCACACCTGACAAGATGCAGAGGTGGTTCCAAGAGCAAACCAAGGCAGGTCCTCCTCCAGGGGCCCAGGCATGTACAGGGGCCCCATGGGTGGGGGCCATTTGGTACTCCTACCACCTTCCTGCCATACAGCCTGAACCCAGCACCCGGGGGACTCCGAGCACTTGGATTGCATGTTTGGGCATGCTTTATTTGGGCTGCCTCCTCTGCGCTGGCAGGGAACAAAGGAGATGCTGTAGATGTCTGCATCCCAGAGGGAGGCGCAGGCTGCCCAGAACCATGGCTTCTAACTGCCAGCTGAGACCATCGAAGGACCAAGGCAGCTCAGGTCTTCCTAGTCCAATGGAGTTTGAGCCAGCCCCTCAGGAACTGCCTAAAAAAGAGAAAGAAAAGCCACCTCCTTCCTAAGGTCTGTGGCTCCATCCTTTGTCTTTGGGTCCTGTCTCTTGTCCTTTGGGCCATAAGTGGAGAGCTGCCCAAGTCCTAGTCCTTTTAAGGCGCTAAATGGAAGACCTTAACAGTGACTATCGGTGCCAAAGACTCAGTTCCTGCTGGACTTGGGGTGATAACGGGAGATATGGTGAGCGGGTGCAGGGCCATTGTGCTCAGAGGACTCCAGCTGATGGGATCTGTCCCAGCATGTCAACCCTGGTGTTACTTCTCTCCCCAAGGGGCCTGGCACATCTCTCTAGCCCTGCTGGCCATGCTTGCTCACCCAGCCTTGTCCCAGGCCTGCATTTCTGTATATATTGCTGTGTATCGTGTGTATGTATTTATTCCTGGACAAGTTTGGTGGTCTGCAGCCCTCGCCTGAGAATAAGGTGTAGGATTGGGTGGAGATCAGAAATCAGAATACCAGGGCCAACTAAGGCAGCCAGCTCCTATTCCCTCCCCACACCCCTGGGAACCTGGCCAGTCCCAAGACCGCCCTGACAATCAGGCAGGCCCAGCCTCACCTGCCACCACTGGCATGGCCCAAGGAGGCTTGGCCTTGGCCTTCCAGACTCAGCTCTGCCCTGGCAGGGGTCCTGCACCCAACTCACAGGCCTGAGGTGACCCAGGCTTGCCTCCTGGCTGGCATGAATAGGCGTGGCTTGTGGGCACTGCTGGTGGGGACCTCCACAATGGACCCCCAGGCCCTGCCTTCCCTGCACAGCCAGACTGCAATGGGCCTGAGCCATGAGAGGGTGGCTCCCCCAAGCACATCAGGCAGAGGAGTGGAGAGCATTTTCCGATTTTGTTTAAGTGGTGCCTGTACCTCCAGTCCCCAGGGGCCTTCAGTGGCCCCTCTTCTCTGCCACACCAGGCATCACCATCCCAGCACTTTGCTCCATGTCACCCATGATGCCCTTTGCTGAATGTACCTGAGTGTATGTATTTAAGAGGACTCACACAGGCATCAGAAAATTTATGGCTTTGTATCCAATAAAAGATGGTGAAACTGGAATATCTGCCTCAGGGCAATAAATGGTAGGTGGCCATATTTGTTGTCTGTGTCACCAAGCCTTTCTGCAGCTGAAGTGCACTGAAGCAGGAAAGAGGTGGGTGGCCAGATTGGCATCAACGGGGTGAAGCATCAGAAGACCAGTCTCTGGACTGCAGACGTCACTGGAGCAAGGCCATGCAGGTCACTGCCCCTTTCCATGTCTGTATGTGGACAGCAAGCCTTGGGTGCCATTTCTGACTCAGCCAGGAGAGACAGGACAACTCCAGCACAAGTGCAGCAAGAGCATCAGGCACTGCCCAGTCTCTTACTGGCCTGGCCACATCCTCAGGAGGCTCTGATCAGCCAATCAGGCTTCAGCCCGAGGGAGAGACCAAATTGCCCAACATGTGCTGGTTTCAACTTCCCTCTTTTACCCAATGGGATTGCCCCACCAATTTGATTACTCAGGTATGAAATATTAAAAATCAGAAAAACCAACAGGTGTTCAGACTTAAACTGTGTGGCTCTAGCATCAAATAAGTAGATGAGCACTTATACCCCTGTTCCTATCTTCATTATACATCCAGAACATCCGAGATTCGGAAAAATTAGTTTACACAAAGACTATCAAGTTAGGAGGATACAGGATTCTTAAGTCTGGATCATACCAAATTTCACCTGAGTCCATCTAACTGGGAATGGTTGGACTCAGGATTTCAAAACAAAACAAAAAAAACCCCAACAAATAAAAATCACACCTGGTGGATGTGTCTCTGTAGTTGAACGTCAACCTATGAACCAGGTTAGGTTTTGATTCCCAGTCAAGGCACAT